GTAGTCTGTGAACAAAAAAAAATCACGCACCAACTCTCCTTCCACTTTAGTCTTGGTTTGTAGCCTTTCCAAGTTAGATAATTTACCATCAGTGCAGTAACTGACCTCAATGCCACGTTTATCCTCTTTGAAGGCATTTGACAACATGGCTGAAAGCGTCATGCTAAAAATCATGGGAGCAAGCACGCAGCCCTGTTTCACTCCATTGGTGACTGGGAAAGCACAAGAGCATTGTCCATTATCCAGAACCTGGGCAAGTGTGCCATTGTGAAAATGAGGTATAATACTAATGAACCAACCTATAAGCGTCCCACAGTGTCACCTTTATGGCCTGTTGGGACAAATTTATCTCCTCTGCCCATTCTTCCAGGGAAAGTCTTCACATGCTTGGAGCAGACAAGCTCTTAACCTGGTTTAGCCTATCTGCCAAAATGTGGCACCAATGTGACCACCACCCATGCTACCACTTCTTGGAGCCAAAGGTGAAAGTTGAGTGACAGGTAGATTCCAAAGATTGGTGAGCAGCCCTGAGAAGGGCTTGGCAAAGCCTCACACCAAAGGTGCCAGTCCTCACTGAACACCCTATACACCCCATTAATCTATTATCCATCAGCTGAACTCCTGGTTCCCACACATTTCCATTTGTGGCCTGCCTAGGGTAGGTTCTCTCCTACTAATGGTATAACAGTGGCCTTACCCTTCATGCTGTTGCCTCCTATGTGAGGTTTCATGCTGACAGGCTAGCAACAACCCACTTATGTCCTAGGAATCACAGACTTGGGCATGCCCAAGTCTCTTGCCTTCCATCTAACTAGCTAAACTGTAATTAGAATAAAATATGTCTCACACTACAGTTATGGTGGGTAAATCAACATACCACTTTGCTAAGATATTGACAGGCAGAACTTTTAAACCATCTTATGGAGGATATCCAGCCCAAGAGAAAGAGGATAAATGTGTCTTAGTAAAGTAGATGGGATTGGGACAATAAACTCCTATCACTGTTTATAGAGCTGAGGGAAGCCCCAGTGAATGCCGTTGCCATCACCTCTGGTGACATGAGGTCAAATTGGTGATAAGGACATAAAACATCATCTGTGGACAACCAGAAATCCTAGGAGTCTTACCTTTTGCAGACTCCAGACTCAAAGACAAAAAGAGATTTCAATGGGAATTTTGGCTCACTTATCGAAGTGAAGTTAGTTCTACAGAATGGAAGCAGGTAAGGATTTTGAAGGAGCCATTCTTTAAAAGGCATAAAAGGGAAGGGAGCTGATTTTGTGTCAGATTGCTTTATAGTGCTTTATAATGCTCTAGGAGACTCAGATAATTAGCAAGGTTACACATTTGAATGTTACCTCCATGCAAGATGTGAGTGAAGAGCCCATCCCTGGAAAATTACAGAAAGAAAATTGGACAGTCTTCAGAAATGATCTGAATTTCTCCCAGGATGGACACGTTTTCCAGGCCAGTTGAAGGAGAAGGGGAAACATCACCAATTAGCTTAAGGGAGATGAGCTTTGAGCCTGTGCTTCTACTCCTCAAGCTGGGGGAAGATTCACCATTCCCTCTGGCTTCTCCAATGTAGGCTCTTCCTCTCCAGTAGAGCTGCAGAAGTTTTTGGGAAGCAGGAAAAAGCTGGACTTTGTTCCTCAGTCTCCTGTGCCCGTTTTCTGCTCATTGGGTCCAAAAGGAGACAACAGGAGTGGCCCCAGCACATGGAGCTCCCTGAGCTCCCAGCTGCTCTTTCGGAAGCCCCAGGAAAAACAAAAACAACCCAAGGATCCAAGTTCCTCCATGAGGTCAAAGATAGCACCTGCTTGGATCTCTCATCTCCAAAGCAGCTCGTACATCATGAGGATCACAAACATGGAAGAAAGCCCTACCCCTTCTGCTTCCTTTGTAGGACATGAGAACGTGCTTTGGCCAGAAGGGTGCAGGTCAAGGGCCCAGCAGGCAGGGTCCCCATGCAGAGATCGAAGGTCATCTAGACAAACCTGGACCTAAGCAGGAAGCCCCTCGCCTACCATCTCCTCTAGCTGGGGGTTCCCATGATGGTGGTCCCCCAGCAAGAGCCACCAGCCTATTCCCTTTTGGGCTAGCTCACTGCTAGGCAAACGTGGGTTCAGTTTAGGGGAAGTTTTCTGCTTATAGCACCAACATATGGCCCCTAATTCTTCCCTCTAGGGCCACTGAGATCAAGTCCAAATGGTTTTCCCATAACAGGCCTTCAAACACTGAAAGGCAGCTCCTAGGCCTCCCCCAAGTCTTCACTGGGCTTGTGGCCCAGTTCCCCACCCAACAGTTTGCACTCTTCTGGAGACTCCGAATGCCGTGCAAACGTTAAAGAGAGATGGCATTGCTCAGCACGTGGTCCACAGCCCATTTTCCTAGCCATCCTGTAACTGTCACATGAACTGTCTCCCTTCTCCAACCTGCTGAAGACTTAGCAGTCTGTGCTCAGGATGTGGGCCTTGCCTCTGACAGAGGGTAGGAAACTTCACAAAGTGAAGACCCATTCAAACCAAAGGAGCAGATCAGACATCGGGGCTAGGCTGGTAGAGGGCAGAAGCCCAGATCCTCCAGTCCTTAAACATCAGGCTTCAGACGGCACATCCCCCTCCTCAGCCTACCGCTGGAAAGAGTGTAGGACCTAGGCCAGGTGATCCAGCTGTATAACCCACCTCTGACACTACTTGTGGGCTCACAGACAAGGCCTTTAACAGCCTTATAGATTGGGTACCACAGGTATTATTGTCCCTACTTTACAGGTACAGAAGATGAGGGTCAAACCCTCACCATCCAAGTCTTAAATCTCATGTTTGCCTAAACCCTGGCCAAATCTAGGCAGACTGCAGAACTGGAGAGCTCCTGGCCCAACAGTCCTGGATGGCAGGTCAAGACTGAGACTGAACAGCTGGTTTTGATCTGACCCTGCAAAGATGGAAAAGCCTGGGAGGAAGGGTTATCAAGCAGGACCACAGCATGTAGATAGAAAGGCAGCCCCACAGTACAACTTGGGACCTGGAGAGTGAACGTCAGTCACCAGCCAGGCCCTTCCCAAATGGGAGTGAGGGCGGTTTCCTTACACCTAACACCCCCCCCCGGAAACTTGAAATTGTGACCGCTTCCCCAGTGATGATCACTGGAACCCTCAAATCATTGCCTGGCTTGGGGGCTAGCACTCAGAAGCCTGGCATAAGGAATGAATGGGCTGATCTGTTCATACAAATGTCTGGTTGTGGCTTCTGGTTGCCATCTCTCCAAAGATTAAAGAGGAAAGGGTCCTTTGGGAACCCTCTAATTCAACACCCACCTCCGGAAGGCCTAGAGAGAAGGTGAAGGTGCTCCAGTCAATAAAAGACAGAGCAGAGGCCAGAGCCAGCCTCTCTGAACAAGTCTGCACTGCCTCTCCGTGGTAGGAACAACAGCTCTTGTTAAACTGTCTGGTAAGTGATCGGACAAATGTCTCATTTTGTTCCGATACCGAAGCTAAGCCAGAGCCCAGAACTCTCCCCAGAACCGAGGGCTCTTCCAGAATCTGCAGCATCACCGAAGCCACGAGTGCATGGAAATGCCCCACCAGCCATTTACACAGATCTATTAGGAACCGGCTGCCACTTATGAAGTCAGACAGGGAAGGGGACACTGTCTTTCCTCTACTTAACTGTGACACTGTAGACTCCTGAGAAAGGGAAGAAAGCGGGAGGTGTTTTCCCATCTTCACCACCACAATCACAAGGGATCCAGAGCAGTGAGGTGCCCCACTTCTAACCCACTGAGCCAGGTGTGACCAAGTTTGCATCTTGGCAGACAGACAGACAGCCCTTCTTCAGAGCAGCTGAGCTGGAGGGGTTACCACAGGCAGCGACTTCCACTGGGAGCCCCAAACACAGTCTCTGCCAAGAAAACCCCAAATGGGGTCACCAAGGGTTGGGCACGACCGAAAATGACGACCGCAGGTAACAATCTGAGGATGGGGGAAAGCAACAGTCACCTTTTCAGGGGTAAAAGGAACCAACTATCTGCCGAATGAAGTCATCAACGCAGCCTTGGGAAGCGGGGAGGGACAAGAAGCAGAAACGATTTCAATGAAATGAACAGAAATGAAAACTCAGAACACGAGGCACGTCCAAGCGGAAATTCTCACCTAGCAGAAGCAAAACCTTCCCCCAGAAAATAAAAAAGGAGGGAAAAGGGCGGCGGGCGGGGCTGTAGAAGAGGGTGGAGGAAAAGCGGGGAGGGGGAGGGAAAGAAAAGGAGGGGGCGGAAAGGGAGGTCGGGGGTAAAGTTGCACACAAACTTCTCTTTCGTCCGCTTTGCATGGAAAGATGATGCCCCATCATTCAGCCCAGCCCGACCCAAGCCTCCTGGCAACTGACGTGGACTCGGGTTCGATCAAGCTGCGTGACCGGCGCCCACCCGCAGGGCTCCCACCGTGCGGGGAATGGGGCACACGTTGTCAGAGGTCCCAGACCAGCCAAGTTTGGGGAGGTCGGAGGGGTCAGGGTCCCCGCTTCAAGATTGTGACGTTATAGGGGAAGTCTCCTATTGGAGAAAGTGCGTGTGTGTTTGTGTGTGCAGATGTAACGTTATTCAAGTGACACACACACCCCCAGCCCAGGGGGCGTTCGGGGCGCAGACCCGCCGGGCGCTGGTCCAGGGGGTGGGAGACAGAGGTTCGGCCAGAGCGGACGAAGCCCCCGAGGGCACTGGGTTAGTTGTGGGTCCGGCCTCACCCCCACCCGAATTCCCCCTCCCTCCTCTCCCCTCCCCGTGAATAGAAACAACCGACAGGTGTGGCGTGATCACGCTCTGGCAGCCACCTGGGCTATCCACTTGTGGGGAGGCGGGGAGAGACGAGAGGAGGGCGAGGCGTTCTCCCACCCTCCAGTCCCCCATGACCCCACCAGCAGCAAGAAAGGGCGGGGGGGGGGGTGGCCTTGGAGGAATCCTGCGCATGCGGAACGACGCCGGCTTGAGTGGGCGGAGGGGGTGGAAGGGGAAGAGAACTACAAGTCCCGGCAGGCAGCGCGCACAGTAGGGTGGTTCCCTCTTCCACTGCCTTTCCTTGCCCGGACTGCTTTCACGAAGATGGGCTAGGCTGTCCTTCCTAGTGCGCCGTCCCCTCTGTGGGCCTCCCTGTGAAGCACACGTCGAAGAAGGGCGTTTAGTTCTCCGGAGCGGCCCCAGTTTAACAGCGAGCAGGATGAGGATTGAGCGACTACAAGGCCCAGCAGCCACCGCGCGTAAACAGTATCGCAGGCAAGACGAACTACAAGGCCCAGCAGCCACCGCCCTCGAACAAGAGGAGGAGGCAGAACGAACTACAAAGTCCAGCAAGCCTCGTACACAGACAAGCAGTTGCAGGTGGGGCGGACTACAAGGCCCGGCAGCCACCGTGCGCGTACAAGAGAAGGAGGCAGAACAAACTACAGGGCCCAGCAGCCAGCGCGCACAAACAGCAGCGATAGGTGAAGCGGACTACGAGGCCCAGCAGCTGCAGGCAGGGCGGACTACAAGGCCCAGCAGACCCCGCGCACAAACAGTAGTAGCAAGAGGGGGCGGACTACAAAGCCCGGCAGGCCCCGCGCGCTGGCAGAAAGAGGAAGGACTGCCTAAGGGACCCGGCAGGCAGGGCGCTGCTGGCGGCGCGATGGCGCACGATGAGAGCGAGGCGGCGGCTGCCCGCTCCCCGGCCCCCGGGCCGCCGGCCCCGCTGTCCTTCGGCTTCAGCCGCACGGCCGGCCGGAAGCGGCTGGCGGAAGGCCGCGAGGGGCAGCCGGAGGAGGAGAAGGATTTCGTGCGGGCCGTGGAGGGGCGGGAGCTGCGCAGCGTGCGGCCGCCCGAGGAGGCGCCCCGGGAGCTGGTGATCCCCCTGCTGCGGCGGGGCCACGGCCGCGGGGCGGCCCCGGGCCAGGCCGCGCTCCCCGAGGACGGCGTGCTGCGCCAGGCCGTGGAGGAGCTGATCGAGGAGTCCAAGCGGGCCCTGCAGCCGGGCCCAGGCGCCGAGGCCGCAGCCTCGGCCGTGGCCATCCCACTCCTGGCCCGGGCGGGCGACGCGGCCGAGGCCCCCGAGTCGGTGGGCGCGGACTATGAGGCGGTGCCGGTGGAGGCCTACGGGCTGGCCATGCTGCGGGGCATGGGCTGGCGGCCGGGGGAGGGCATCGGGCGCACCTTCAAGCAGGTGGTGAAGCCCCGCGAGAACCCCCTGCGCCCCAAGGGGCTTGGGCTGGGGGCCAGCCTGGCCCCGCCCGCGGGCCCCCCGGGGCCCAGCCAGCCGGGCGGCCGCGAGGCCGAGGAGCCCGTGGGCCTGGCCCCCGGGAGGGCCGTGCAGGTGCTGGCTGGTCCCCACCGCGGCCGCTACGGCAAGGTGCAGGGGCTGGACCCGGACAATGCCAGGGCCGTGGTGAAGCTGGCCCCGGCCGGCCCCATCGCCACCCTGAGCGAGCACGTGCTCAGGCCGGTCCCTGCCCAGGAGTACGAGAGGCAGGCCCGGGCCCCCGGCTACCCCGAGCCGGGACGCAGAGGGGCCCCCGAAAAGAAGCGCAGGAAGCAGTCCCCCGCGGAGGAGAGGCGGGCCCCCCACTGGCTGCGCAGAGACCTCCGGGTGCGCTTCGTGGACAGACGGCACCGCGAGGGCCGCTACTACAACACCAAGATGACCATCGAGGATGTCCTGAGCCCGGACACGTGCGTGTGCAGGACGGACGAGGGCCGGCTCCTGGAGGGCCTCCGAGAGGACATGCTGGAGACTCTGATCCCCAAGGAGGAGAAGGCCAGGGTCATGGTGGTGCTGGGGCCGCACAGGGGCCAGGTGGGCCGGCTCCTCGGCCGCGACAAGGAGAAGAGCCGGGCCCTGGTGCAGCTGCTGCAGGAGGAGGCTGAGGGCACCGTCCTGCAGCTGGACTACGATGCTGTGTGCCAGTACGTTGGGCCCGCGGCCGAGGACTAAGGGCCCTTCCGTCTCCTGACCCCGTGTCTGCAGAACGTGATGCAGGCCAAGCCTGGGCAGGGGAGCCTGTGTCTCACTGTGCCTTCCGGACGTCTTGGCAGAGCCCCCTAGCGCTATCATCATCATGCTTTGGCCTTTTGGGGCAAGGGCAGAGAGGACGAGGGAAGATCACAGCCTACTTGCCCGCCCTCCCTTGGCTGACTCCTGTTTCTTGTCTAAATAAAGATGTGTTTTCCAAAAGTAAAAAATTTTAATCACCCAGCATTCGGGACAGGTCACCAAGGGATAATCAATTACAGGACATCTAGATGAAATATTGAGGGGAAAAAAAATCAGTGCCAGAAGGCCCTTCATTCTGAGGACTTAAGAAGAAATTAAATCCCTGGCCAATATTCAGAGCCTGGAAATGTTGGTAGTGACAGTCCTTGCAAACTGAACCAGATAGCTGGTGAGGAGGGTTCACTGGCTCCTATTCCAAGTTCATTGTGGGAAATTAGTGGGCGTGCTGATGTTTGAGGCTACTGTTGGGCATGAGACAAACACATTGCACCTTCTTCATTCACACTTGGTGTCTAATACCACCCACACAGACGCTGCTGTCCTAGACAGTTCCGTTACTCACCTAGTCCTACCCCTCTTCCCCAAGGTCACCCATGTGCATGGACCTCCATCCCTGCAGTCTCAGCTGGACTCATTAGTTCTATCCAGCCCCATGTGGACATGACATTGATGCCCCTAGTTTCTGGTCCACGGTATCCTTTGTGGTAGACATCACTGCCTCTTTGAATGTTCAACCAGATAAATTAGCTTCCACCTGGGCTGTTTTGTGGAGTGTATGTTAAATAAATTAGAGGCACAACCATAATAGCTCACAGCCTCCAATTAGAAAGGAATCAGTTGAGAAGACAGTCCCATGCCAGCTCAAGTGAAAGGTGGTCTCAATTGCCAGATGTTAGCTGTTTTTTATCCAATTTCTTAGATGGTTGTTTTGAGAAAACGCTGGCAGAGAGGCATTGTCTAGGCCTAGGTGGCCATGCTACAGAAGACTGACAGCCCATTAGGATCCCCAAAGTAATGAGGCACACACCCACAATGTATAAGGGCCATGTGACATTTGCACTTGACACGGCATATGGGAGGAAGGAGAGAAGGGGCAGGAAGGTAAAACTTGTCCATCCATAAGGTGTGAAGAGCAGCAGGACCCTTGTGAGGAGATTCTGAGGTTTGCTGTTGTAAAGAATGACTGTTGTGATCTCCACCATCTCGGCTGGTACACACTGAGTACCTGGCCCCTTGTGTTTCCTGTCCCCATCTCCAGAGGGAATCCAAATTAACCACCTACTGACTGACGGCCTCTTGGCCTTCTTAGAAAGGAGAGGAATGGCCTGTTAAGGTCCTTCCAGGCTGTAGCGCCAGGAAGCTAGCTTGCTGCGTGAACTGTTGGCAGTTACCTGTAAGTACATTTCTGTTGACAGAGGAAAAGCCATTGGTTGCTAAAACCATCACTGCACTGGCTTGTGATAACGACTCGGCTTGGTGGTGGGTGCAAGACTGCTCTTACACAATCACTTTTACCCTTTTAGTTGAAGCTAATAAGGGGTTGCGAATGTCCCCCGAGTCACCCCGGAAGAGCATGAGCGTCTGTTATCCCCTGGTCCAAGTGAGAGAAGCTTTGGAAAGCAACAGCAAGCTAGGGGTCAAGGCAGAGACAGGGCCAGCTTCATGTGGGCCCCGGGATGCAGCGGGACAGTGCAGCTGCTGACTGGCCTCTCTGTCACCATGGATCTGTGGACTTGGGTCACCTGGCTGGAAGCATCCCTGCACCAAGCCCAGCTTCCTCACATCAGATCTCCCAAGAGAGGCCAAGGACACTGCTAGGTAGGAGCCCCAGGACGAGGGGGCAGGGCTGGGCTCTGCCAACCCTGACAGCTGATTGTGAAAGGACAGACCGGCTCGTACACCAGGGAGACAAAACGTGATGTGTGTTTGAGGAAGGCCTCCCTACAACACCAGCGAGCTTTGGCTCTTGAGGTGTCCACTCTGGGCAATCAACCAATATGTATTAAGTGTCTGTGCCAAGTACTGGAGATGCAGAAAAGTGGCAAAAGATAGCCGCTGCCCTCATGGAGCTTACAATCTAATGGGGGAGACAAGCAAATGTATACAAAAGCAAGCTATATCCAGGAAACAACAGAGGTCAGGCACTAAAACTGAGAGGGTTGTGAGAAGGCTTCCAGTAAAAGATGGGATTTTTGCTGAGACTTAAAAGGAAGCCAGGGAGATCAGCAGATGGAGGAGGGGAGGGAGAGTGCTGTAGGTATGGGGGACGGGCAGAGGAAATGCCCAGAGCCAAGAGGTGAAGGGTCTTGTTCGTGGAACAGCCAGAAAGCCAATGTCACTGGATATCAGGGAGAGTAAGGCATAAAAAGACTGGAAAGGTAAGAGGGAACTAGGTTATGAAGGGCTTTGAAAGCCAAACAATCCATTTTGTATTTGATTCTGGAGGCAATAGGGAGTCACTCAAATTGAGGGGGAGGGTGGGAGTGGGGGGAATGATTATTAGACACACTCTAGGAAAAACACTAGTGACTGAAGGAAAGATGAACTGGAGTGGGGAGAGGCTGGAGGCAGGCAGGCCCACCAACTGCTATTGTGAAAGTCCAGTACTGAGGTGATAAGGCCCTGCACCAGGGTCAAGGCAACGTCAGAGAAGGGAGCACACTGGAGGGATGTTGCCAAGGTGAAATCCACAGGCTTTGGCACCATATTGGATTGGGGGGGGGGAGATGGGGGGAAGGTGATGTGAGAGAGTGAGGAGTCCAGAATGACTATTAAGATGTGAGTCTCAGGGACTGGGAGGATGATGTTACCCTCTGCGGTAATAGGGAAGGGTTGGGGGGAAAGACAATGAGTTCTGTTTTGAACATATTGAGTCTAAGATGTCTACTGGACATCTGAAAGGCCATTGGAGACGTGAATTTAGAGGTTAGCAGAGGCTGGGGCAGGAAAGGGAGATTTGAGCATCATAGGCATAGAGATGGTCATTAAATCCATGGGAACTGGGGAGATCCCCACGTGAGGAAGTCTAGGGGGAGAAGAGAAAAGGGTCCAGGACAGACTGTGAGGGACACCTACGGTTGGAGGGAATGATGGGGGGAAGATCCAGTAAAGGAGACAGAGAAGGAGCGATCAGGGAGGGAGAAGAACCAGGAGAGAGGAGTGTGTGCTGAAAACCTAGAGAGAAGAGAGTAGCAGAACGTGGTCAACAGTGTCCAAGGCTACAGAGAAGCCAAGGAGGAGGGCTGAGAAAAAGGCCGGGAGATCTGGTGACCAGAACCACTGGTAACTCGAGAGAGAGCAGTTTTGGGGGTAATAAGGGCGGAAGCTGGATGGTAAGGGGTTAAGAGGAGAGAAAGTGGAGGCAGCTAGTGTAGAGGACTAGTCCAGTGGGTGCCCGTCTGGTCAGCAGGGGCTGCTTGTTTAAGCCTTTTTAATGGTGTTCCCTCAAATGAACCTTCTATAGATGTTTGGGGGGTTGGGGGAGGGCAGCAGCACAAAAGAGTGACATGTTTTGTTTTTCCTGGTAAGAAAGACAAAAGGCCAGCTGTCAGGGACGCTCCCTACTCCTCATCAGCTGTTTTGTATTCCCAGTGGTCTTCAAAACTTGGGGGCACACTTGGGGGTTGGTTTATCAGCAAGAGAAATATCCTGGGAGGAGTGTCTAGAGGGTAAGGGGTGTCACAGCCAATTTAACATCTGACTCAATTGTCCCTTAATTGCCAAGTTGAATAAATAAATTTAGTCCTTATGAGTTACGGCTTTCTTGCTGCCCAATTTGAGTGTGTGATGGAGACCATCCTCATTTCCCACCCAATTGCACTCCCCTGGACTTTGCTAACCCTGCAGAATCACTTCAGCCTTGGGACTGAGAGGCTTCCAGGCATCCCCCCCTACCCCAAGGCCTCCTTTCTGACTGGAGAGGCCAGAGAGGGAGAACCCCCAAGCCTCCGTTGAAGGCTGGTGCAGAGTGGGCTACTTGCCTCTAAACCTCCCAGCACTCCTCCCTATGGGAACTGCCTGGGCAACTATCATTGCATTATCTTCCCCCTCCCCTCCCCTTAGGTTGTAGGTTCTTTGGGGGCAGGACCTGTCTTCCTTTCTTTTCTCCCATTCCCAGCATTTAATACATACCTGGGACATAATAGGCGGTTAATGCTCATTGACTGATGGATTAACTTGTGTGGGGGTGCAGCCCCTTTCCAGTTGTTCCAAAGTCATTTTACTCCTGAAACTGATTCTCCCTCCTGACAAAAAAGCAGTTTCAAAAGAAGGCTCATCTACACCTGAAAATGAGTGGAATATTGCTGCAAGTGGAGAGAGGTTGTTTTTATTCCTGATTTGGTCGAGCCAGGAGATCTTACAGACCTCACATCTTGATGAATAAGCACACTTACCACCGTTGAGACTTGGAGTCCGTCTACATGCATTTATTAAGAACTTAGTGAATGCCAGGAATTGTGCTAAGTGAGGGGCTACGAGGAAAGGCAGAAAACAGAGAAGCCACCCTGCTTTAGTTTACATTCTAGTGGGGAAGACCACTTGGGGACAACTGTGCACGTACAAGATAGATAGCGGGCAAATGGCTGGTTCTCAGAGTGGCAGCTTTAGCACCGCTCACAACAAGCAGTGCGATCCACTGATGTCCATGCATATGAATATATGTCCCTGTCCCCTGGCAAAATCACCATTATTGTCGTCATCATCATCGACATTTCAGGGGATATCTGTGATGACTAGGAATATGGAGTTGAGGGCAGATGGTTCACCAGCCCTCCATTATTGGACATCAGAGAGCATTTAGACACCCACTAAGTGTGGGATGTGGTGCCAAGGTTACCAAGACTGATGTGAAACAACCCCTGCCTGTCCTCAGGAAGCTTACATTCTTGAGGATGAGGGAAAACAGCATTCAGATGCAAGGTACTGCTCCCTTTTACTTGGGATCATATTGAATGTTGAAAGGACACACCCCCAAAAATGTATGTGGAAAATCGATGAGCCTTCTTGCAAAGAAAGCCTCTCAGAGAAAATAGGAG